ACAATACCGTGACTGGAACGATACACAAATAACCCGCACATAGAAGAGAGGAGCTTACGACGACGTTTCGGTCCGACTTGGACCATTTACAAAGTCACACTAACGAAAAGGAGAGAGGGAGGGATATATGTAGACAGGAGATGGTAGTAGGTTAAGATGGTGTGGCCGTTAAAGAGGGAAGTAGAGAGGTTCATGCAAGAGGTGATTGATTAGCCTGCTGGCCGCGGATAGCAGTAGCCTTAATGATCAAGCGGTCAATATGAAAATTTAGCCTCGGGTATGGGGAAAACTATGAAAACCAGTCGGATTTCAGAGGTGTGTCCACTATCTGTTCATCGAATGTAGTCTATTTGCCTACAACGTAACGTTGAAACAAGCTTCTGAGGCTCAATTGGAAGTTTAGACTTGTTTCACCTCATTTCTGTTTCTGTTGACCCAGAAATTCTCAATCCTATCGATGTTATCTATCGGCCTGAGGGTAATACCGGACTGGTTGATCAGGCAGCCAATAAGAAAGTCTAGCCTCAGGATGGGCTGCTAGAGTAGAACTCTAGAAATTGATGAGGAGTATATCATAGGTTGTGATTTGCGAGGAAGAGAGATGGAAAAATAATGCACCCTTGAGGTACACCACACCTAACCTGGACGTCAAAACCACACTAGCGGACCAAGATTCTCTACGGTCGCTGCTGCCTTGTCCTGCTATAGGTCTTAAAGTATTTTTCTGTAAGCTTAACTCATTTTTCGATTTTTCTTACTGGCCCTCGCCGAGCATGCAGATTCAGACGCTGGCGCCTTAAGACTTATACTTTTGTTTCGTAACAAGAGGGTCGCTTCCTATGTCCCTTGCATTATTCTTAGGCTCTGTCCGGTGGCTTGATTACGTTAGGAATTGTGTTACAGATTTGTCTTTATTTTCCCATTTTTGAAATGATGAAATCTGTCTGCGTTATCCATCATAAAGTTGTGTGTGGGGTCCACTGGGAGACTGTTACATCAGCTTAAAAGTTTGTGTCTTCGATGGTTGCCACTCTCAAAAATACAACTTGCACATGCAATAGGTTGGAGACAGGTTGTAAATCTTCAGAAATCCTTGAACTCTGTGATATTTAGTTCACTGCTTAAATAAAAGCAAAATGTGTTTTTCCCTGTGCATACTGGTATTCTCATTATATGTTCTTGGGTTCCATTGCGAGTACTGGTATTCTCCTTTTATGTTTCCGGATTTTCTTGTGTGCATTGGTATTGTTTCCAGGTTTCCTTGTGTTTATGTTTCCGGATTTTCCCAGTGTACTAGTATTCTTTTGTTTCCGGTTTCCTTCTTATTGCTGGGTACAGAGCGACATCCACTGTCTCGGCTCTGAAGAAGAAACATTCCTTCAAACTGTTCCTGATTAGTCAGATTGCCATCAGGATAGGATTGTTGTGGGACCGGGTGGCGAGGGCAATGATCCCCAGAACTAATACAAGTTAATTACACATCTGCCTATTTCACCTTTTCAACTGATATATTACCAAACAGCATTTACATACGGTAATTTGTCTGCTTCTCCATCACCTTGTTTACCTGTCTCGGTCACTCTTGTGAAAGGGTACATTAATGAGGTGCCTCCCACGCGGCGTGGGGGAGGCGATGATCCTTGGTGTCAGGTATCCAGTGAAGCTCTACACCCAAACATATTCCAATGCTCACAATGCTTTGATGTACACAAGTTATTTCAACACCACAGCTCATCTGCACTTTACGTATTTGTACGAGGGCTAGAACCTTCCCCAATTCTTAGGTTGAATAACCCATTATATATATATATATATATATATATAATATATATATATATATATATATATATATATATATATATATATATATATATATATAACGTGAAGAGTAGGTAAAATTGGTCAATTAGCAGGAACTCGTTTAAAATTAAGTCCTTTCTAAAGAAAATTCTTATACGTTTAAAGATATATTTTTTCATTTAAGCTAAAATGATAGGATGGATAATGAGAACTTTCAAAGCGAGAGATGCCAAGCCAATGATGATCCTTTTCAAATCACTTGTTCTCTCTAGGCTGGAATACTGCTGTACATTAACATCTCCATTCAAAGCAGGTGAAATCGCAGATCTAGAGAGTGTACAGAGATCCTTTACTGCACGTATAAGTTCTGTCAAGCACCTTAACTACTGGGAACGCTTGGAAGCACTTGACTTGTACTCGTTGGAACGCAGGAGGGAGAGATATATCATAATCTACACTTGGAAAATCTTGGAAGGAATGGTCCCAAATCTGCACACAGAAATCACTCCCTACGAAAGTAAAAGACTGGGCAGGCGATGCAAAATGCCGCCAATAAAAAGTAGGGGCGCCATTGGTACACTAAGAGAAAACACCATAAGTGTCCGGGGCCCAAAACTGTTCAACAGTCTCCCATCAAGCATTAGGGGAATTGCCAATAAACCCCTGGCTGCCTTCAAGAGAGAGCTGGACAGATACCTAAAGTCAGTGCCGGATCAGCCGGGCTGTGGCTCGTACGTTGGACTGCGTGCGGCCAGCAGTAACAGCCTAGTTGATCAGGCCCTGATCCATCGGGAGGCCTGGTCATGGACCGGGCCGCGGGGGCGTTGATCCCCGGAATAACCTCCAGGTAATGTAAAAAATGATAATTTTGTACTAAAAGAACCTTAGAAAACTTGCCTAACCTTATTATAACAAGCTCAATTTAATTAAGCCTAATCTAATTAAATATACTTCAGACAAGTTTACAATACGTAATTTAATAATAAACAAAATATACTTTTTCGTTAGGCTCAGAATGATTTTTGCGAAATTATTGCATACATAAATTTTCGCTTGCCTTATTCGGCAATAAGAGCGTTGCTATTTAGGCCAAGGTAGCAAGTTTTACCTATTCAGCACGATATATATTAGAGAACAAAGCAAGACGACTCATTTCTCGCCTAGACAGATCTGTCATTTCAGCAAAACCTTCAACACACGAGTGATGTAGGTGGCTTTACTGATATGTACAAGGATAATATTGTGAGCCTCTACGCAACAAAATGGGCAGCAAAAAGCACCTACACTCACTGTACCCTCCAGAACATCACTTCATCTGAGATCATTTATTCCTACGATGACTCGAGTCCGGAAAATGTTCGTACAGCATAACGACATCAATGAAATAAAGTGAGTTGACCAAATGAAATTGCTGGCCCACACATGGCTAAAACTTCATCCTGTTTCTATCTGTATATCTCTTAACAATTAAAATGTATTCAAATGAGCTGATGTAGGTAACAGTTCTTTGCTTGTAAAGTTAGGAACCCTAAACCTGATCTTGTAAAACCCTGTGTAAAATGAAAAATGGAGAGAGGACAGAGGCTTGTCCAATGATCTGAGTTCTTCATGATTCAACACTACCTACAACCAGGCCTCCGACCCGACCTCCTGGTTGATAACGCTAATAAGTAAGATTGCCGGTGTCTGCAACTCAAGTCCAATGTAAAGACTAGAGCCTGGATGATGAGAGGCCTTAAGAATCTCTAATTGCTGTGAGAAACAGACACACACACACACACACACACACACACACACACACACAGGGATAACAGGGAAGGCACTACAATGGATCAGGGAATACTTGTCAGGAAGACAGCAGCGAGTCATGGTACGTGGCGAGGTGTCAGAGTGGGCACCTGTGACCAGCGGGGTCCCACAGGGGTCAGTCCTAGGACCAGTGCTGTTTCTGGTATTTGTGAACGACATGACAGAAGGAATAGACTCTGAAGTGTCCCTGTTTGCAGATGACGTGAAGTTGATGAGAAGAAATCATTCGATCGAAGACCAGGCAGAACTACAAAGGGATCTGGACAGGCTGCAGACCTGGTCCAGCAATTGGCTCCTGGAGTTCAACCCCACCAAGTGCAAAGTCATGAAGGTTGGGGAAGGGCAAAGAAGACCGCAGACGGAGTACAGTCTAGGGGGCCAGAGACTACAAACCTCGCTCAAGGAAAAAGATCTTGGGGTGAGTATAGCACCAGATATCTCCTGAAGCGCACATCAACCAAATAACTGCTGCGGCATATGGGCGCCTAGCAAACCTCAGAACAGCATTCCGACATCTTAATAAGGAATCGTTCAGGACCCTGTACACCGTGTACGTTTGGCCCATATTGGAGTATGCGGCACCAGTTTGGAACCCACACCTAGCCAAGCACGTAAAGAAACTAGAGAAAGTGCAAAGGTTTGCAACAAGACTAGTCCCAGAGCTAATAGGTATGTCCTACGAGGAGAGGTTAAGGGAAATCAACCTGACGACACTGGAGGACAGGAGAGGTAGGGGGGACATGATAACGACATACAAAATACTGAGAGGAATTGACAAGGTGGACAAAGACAGGATGTTCCAGAGATTGGACACAGCAACAAGGGGACACAGTTGGAAGTTGAAGACACAGATGAATCACAGGGATGTTAGGAAGTATTTCTTCAGCCACAGAGTAGTCAGTAAGTGGAATAGTTTGGGAAGCGATGTAGTGGAGGCAGAATCCATACATAGCTTTAAGCATAGGTATGATAAAGCTCACGGCTCGGGGAGAGTGACCTAGTAGCAACCAGTGAAGAGGCGGGGCCAGGAGCTTGGACTCGACCCCCACAACCTCAACTAGGCGAGTACACACACGCGCGCGACCAGGAGCGGAGTCTCGACCCCTGCAACCACAATTAGGTGAGTACAGACGATGGATTTTACAGGGTGTAGATTAATGAGACGCTTGTGCAACATTTGGAAACGTTTTGCCAGCTAGTGGTTTCTTTAATCCAATATAGAAGAAGTAACTGGCTAGCGAAACTTTTCCAGAACAAAGATACCCAAATGTTGCACAAGTGTCTCGGTTATCAACTAATCGGTTTTCTAAAACCATTTATACAACCTTCCACAAGGTGCATATTTTCCTATCCTTACAAACAACCTCGTTCACAAGTTACAAGGTACTTACTGAAAAAATCTTTCTTGGACAAGTTCTTGGCGCAGACAACTGAAAAGACAGAAAAAAATAGGCATTAGTGTTGAGAAATGGCATTACCAGTTAAGTTTAAAGACTTATACTTAACTTAAAAGGACAACTCATCGCCTGCACAGCCGCCCCTGCAGACGAGGTCTAGAAGCTGTCGAAACCATCTCAACATGGGCTGTCAAGAAATATAATTTGTAAGATTATAAATTACCCCTAGGGGGTGTTATGTCAGCATATTTCATTCACTGATGGCTGACAAAATACCTACTTGTGTGGACTCAATGGTCCGCATATCACCGGGGTTTATGATAAGTGACTAACTCACGATTTTATACTCAACTGCGCAGTCAATAGTAGTACATCACGAGTTAGAACACTTACCTGGGTATATGTATCTGACCCGTAATTACGCCCGGATATCCGTTGAGTTGATTGAAGAATAGTGTTCTTTGAAGAATGTCGCACTACACTCTGTTGGATCGCAACACTCATTGTTACACTGTTCATCAATAATTGTTCACACAATATCACTAAGAAGTTGATCACACTTCTCTGTAAGTGTTTATCGTGTTTTGTGAGACACTTTGTCCACACTAACGCACAGATCAGTGTTCTTTGTTGGTTATCCTGGCGTCAGTGTCACTCGCTAGAGTCAAAAGTAATCTGAAAGACGCCACAGCGCTCCATGCCGTCACTGCCCCCAGCACAAAAAAAAAGCTGACCTAGTACTCCTTGCTTCCTTGCCACTTCCTCGATGAAGCAAAGCAGAATGTTTGATTCTTGCTCTCTTAAGCATAGACAACAATGTCCACTATCTTTACTATGGTAATAAAGTGGGAGCAGGATTTTCCTTAATTGTCCTGCTAAAGTAAGAGATGCACTGTCTCTTATAAAAATACACTTTGCAACACTGGACTGCAAGGAGCAGAGGTCATTTGACCATGCATACGGCATCTGTGATCAATTACTCACTCTAGCAGTAAACAAGATACTCGCCCTTTCTGAGAGGGCTTGGCCCCTCAGGGCTGAAAGGGGCTGAAGGGGGCTGATACTCCCCTCCTGGAGAAAATTTCTCCACATTAGTGAAGTTAGGTCAAGTATGGTGGTGCTGGGGTTAATGGAAGGAGAATGACAGAAGTAATGATGGCGACGGTTCTGTGGAAAGTAAAGTGGAGCATTCACTTAGGTCACTGGGGCAAGGGAAGGTCCCAGCCAGGAGTGCTTGTTAATTTACCAAAATTGGATATATCAGTAGTGTGTTGCTACTCTACCTGAAGAATACACAATGGGAAGGTCTCTGTTGTGGGAGGGGGGGGGAGAGAAGGAACATTTACAGAGCACTTGGATAAAAATGTCATTCAGTGTTCTTTACAATAAAAATCATACATGTATATTTACAACATACAATGCACACATTTAACCCAATACATAAAATTACACATTTCCTTAATTACCTTAATGCTGAAAATATCACTATCCTGTAACACACCCACACATCTGGGATGACACAACAGTGACAATAATGGCAACTGTCAACTATGTCACCCCCAACACAGCCACAACAGCGCCTACTAGCAACTACACTTCAACCAAGGGGAAAACTACATCCAGTATAGGGCCTTTACGTAAAGACGATGGAATATACACTGACGATGATCAGGAATTCGGGGAGATATGAAAGTCACTACGACTCTGTATTAAGTGAACCGCTCACCAGTCTACGGATAGACGACTCAAAACCCTGCTAACATCACAATTTCCGATGTAGCCGTCTCCACAGTTGACTACGAAGGAGCCATCGACAGCATGCCCATAATCTCGCTCCAGATCCAGACTCGTGGCATTTCATACCTATCAAAAATTGCAACAAACCACCATCTTGGGCCATTAGTAATTTATGGGGAAGGAGCCTAGACACAGGTGTCACCCCACTGTCATGAATAACTACTAATATTGCTCTGGTAAAAATTATGGTACATCTTTCTTGCCTGCATTCCACAAAGTACAAATCGAGAGACTTTAAACATTCCCAGTAATTAAGAAGTTAGACTGAACTTATACGCGCAGTGAAGGTTCTCTACATTCTCTAGATCTGTACAGGAATGGTATATAATACCGACAAGATGAAAATTAGACATGTGCAACATCTGGGTATCTTTATTGTAGACGTTTCTCTATCCAGTGATTCTATTAATACAAATTCAAGGACATAACTGGAAGATAACTATATGCAAAGGATGAGGTAATCAGTCCCTCAGCCTTGGAATTGGTGTGAAGAGCACCATAGTCGTGAAGAATCTGGAGATTACTGTGCTTTTCAAACTAATTCCAAGGCTGGAGGACTGATTTTTGAACCTTTGAAGAATTTCGAGAGTATATCCACTCTCTGAGCCCGGCCATGGGCCAGGCTCATGACTACCTCATCTTTTGTATATAGTTCTTATCTTCCAGTTATGTCCTTGAATTTGTCTTGATAAAGCCAATGCATGGCTTTATGAATAAAGATACCCATATCCTGCGCAATGCACACGTGCCTAATTTTCATTCTCTAGATCTGCAATTCCGTGCAGCTTACAGGGGGCTGTTTGTCTACAGCAGTATTCCAGCCTAGAGGTAACAGTGGCTTAAACCCTTAAACTGTCCAAACAGATCGACGTTCAAATTCGTAGTGCTCCAAAAGTAGATCTACGGTTTTTTTTTTTTTTTACATATTTTCAAATATAACAAAAAAATGTAGATAGAAGTTTTTTTACACGTTTTCAAATGTAAAAAAAAAAAGATTACATTTTTTACATACTTTCAAATGTTAAAAAAACGTAGATCTATGTTTGGACAGTTTAAGGTTTAAAGATGATCAATGGCTTGACATCCCTTTTGAAGGTTCTCATTATCCATTATATTTTCCTCGCAGTTGTGATAATGACATTGTTGTGATTCTTGAAAATGAGATCCTTTAACATTATCACTCCTTAGTTTAACGTTCTATTGTCTGCTTATAATTTGCTTTATTCTCCCTTTGAGCTTTTATTTCAAGATGTTTTCCATAGCGACGTAACTTAAATATATCATTTTTTATTATCTCATCATCCAAACATTCCTTGTATGTGTTTCTGTAAATGTTCCATACAAACGTAGCATTTGCTACTGTGAGGAGCCCTGTAAATGTTCCATACAAACGTAGCATTTGCTACTGTGAGGAGTCCTGTAAATGTTCCATACAAACGTAGCATTTGCTACTGTGAGGAGCCCTGTAAATGTTCCATACAAACGTAGCATTTGCTACTGTGAGGAGCCTGTAAATGTTCCATACAAACGTAGCATTTGCTACTGTGAGGAGCCCTGTAAATGTTCCATACAAACGTAGCATTTGCTACTGTGAGGAGCCCTGTAAATGTTCCATACAAACGTAGCATTTGCTACTGTGAAGAGCCCACTAATATAACTCATTTTTATTGGATTTTATACCCCGAATAAACCCAAATGTTTGCAAAAAGGAAGCAGGATTAGCCATTTAGGATGTTCTGGTTTGGTGTGTTTTGTTAGTACCACTTTGTTAAAAACTTAAGAATAAATTTAGACTAAGTTAGCGTACAGAGGCCAGCCCTCATCGACGTAACTAGTCAGCACAGGCGAAACTAGCCAACACACACGTGATCAATTTACATATGAGTATAGGTTATCGTGCGTGAAGCTTCATATCAAGAAGCATAAATAATAGGAGTCCTCAGATTGTTCTTCAACTCTATACATCCTTGGTTAGGCCTCATTTAGATTATGCTGCACAGTTTTGGTCACCGTATTACAGAATGGATATAAATTCTCTGGAAAATGTACAAAGGAGGATGACAAAGTTGATCCCATGTATCAGAAACCTTCCCTATGAGGATAGACTAAGGGCCCCGAATCTGCACTCTCTAGAAAGACGTAGAATTAGGGGGGATATGATTGAGGTGTATAAATGGAAGACAGGAATAAATAAAGGGGATGTAAATAGTGTGCTGAAAATATCTAGCCTAGATAGGACTCGCAGCAATGGTTTTAAGTTGGAAAAATTCAGATTCAGGAAGGATATAGGAAAGTACTGGTTTGGTACTAGAGTTGTGGATGAGTGGAACAAACTCCCGAGTACAGTTATAGAGGCCAGAACGTTGTGTAGCTTTAAAAATAGGTTGGATAAATACATGAGTGGATGTGAGTTGGACCTGATAGCTTGTGCTACCAGGTCGGTTGCCGTGTTCCTCCCTTAAGTCAATGTGACCTGACCTGACTAGGATGGGTGCATTGGCTTAAGCCGGTAGGAGACTTGGACCTGCCTCACATGGGCCAGTAGGCCTTCTGCAGTGTTCCTTCGTTCTTATGTTCTTATGTTCACAGTTGTGTGAGACAGACGGGATGGATGGAGCTGACGAGACGTGGGCGCCTCCAGCACTGGTTCCCAGGCAGCCAGCCAGCAGCCAATAGTGGAGTCTAGCTCGACTACAACCTCCCACCCCCTCCTCTCTCTCTCTCTCTCTCTCTCTCTCTCTCTCTCTCTCTCTCTCTCTCTCTCTCTCTCTCTCTCTCTCAGCTCCAGTAACTGGAAGGCAGAGGCGCAACAGCGAGAGTGCGTGCACTCCAAGAAGAGAAAAGAGCTGAAGAGAGCAAACGAAACAAGAAAGCACACGAGAGAGAGAGGGGGAGATAGAAAAGAGGGAAGAGGAGAGAAAGAGGAAAGAGACGACAGAGGAGAGGAGAGAGACGAGTGAGAGGAGAGAGAAGACGAGAGGAGAGAGAGACGACAAAGAGAGACGAGAGTGAAGAGACGAGAGTGAAGAGACGAGAGTGAAGAGACGAGAGTGAAGAGACGAGAGTGAAGAGACGAGAGAGAGAAGAGAGACGAGAGTGAAGAGACGAGAGGAAGAGAACGAGAGAGGAAGAGAGGAGAGAGAGAGAGAACGAGAGAGAGAGAGAGAACGAGAGAGAGAACGAGAGAGAGAGAACGAGAGAGAGAACGAGAGAGAGAACGAGAGAGAGAAACGAGAGAGAGAGAGAGGAGAGAGAGAGAGAGAACGAGAAGAGAGAGAGAGACGAAGAGAGAGACGAGAAAAGACGAGAGAAGAACGAGAGAGAACAGAAGAGAGAGAGAGAACGAGGAGGAGAAGAGAGAGGAACGAGAGAGAGAAGAGAGAGAACGAGAGAGAGAGAGAACGAGAGAGGCGAGAGAGAGAGAACGAGAGAGAGAGGAACGAAAGAGAGAGAAGAGAACGAGAGAGAACGAGAGAGAGAAACGAGAGAGAGAGAGAACGAGAGAGAGAGAGAACGAGAGAGAGAACGAGAGAGAGAACGAGAGAGAGAGAGAACGAGAGAGAGAGAGAACGAGAGAGAGAGAGAGAACGAGAGAACGAGAGAGAGAGAACGAGAGAGAGAGAGAACGAGAGAGAGAGAGAGAGAACGAGAGAGAGAGAGAACGAGAGAGAGAACGAGAGAGAGAGAGAACGAGAGAGAGAGAAGAGAACGAGAGAGAGGCGGAGACAAGGACACGAGAGGGAGAACGAGGAGAGCGGAGCGCAACGAGACAGAGAGAGAACGAGAACGAGAGACAGGACAGAGACAGAGAGCTAGTGCGGGCATCAAGGGACATCCTTGAGCCAGGTGTCCACAACGTGTGGGCTGGAGTCCGCACCAGCACTGTTCACTTCCTCAAGAATGCCAGAAGACGCCGTCAGCGCCACCAGCCAGTTGAGGCAGCGGCAGCGGCGATACCTGGAGCGAGGGAGAAGAGGGCAAGAAAGAGGTGGATGGAGGGACCTAGTAACTCGCCAAGAGAAATATATATACCAGAACCAGACAATACCATATTGCAACACTCCCTCAATACCACTCATAAACGTATACATCTCGGTGCCTACTGGTTACTCTTCCCATACCTTGTGTTAGTAAGTGTTGAAGTTTATAACCTGCGTAGTTATATACACGCTTTTGTAGTTTCATGCAACATAACAAACCAAAGAAAAATCTTTGCAAGTTAATGGGAAACTTTCTGAAACAGACGTCAGGCACGTCATAAGCAAATTAAGGCAGTAAAAGGACGCTAGGTTGTATGTTAACCTTGTATCTGTGGTGCGACGCTAGAGAAGCATTGAGCACACTTTCCACACTGGTGTAAGATACGACTCATCCACCTTGGCACTGTCCTCGCTACCTGTTGTACACACACACACACACACACACACACACACACACACACACACACACACACACGCACACGCACGCACAACACACACACACACGCACGCGCGCCAC